TTTTTATTTTTTTATTTTTTTTTTTTTAGAAAAATTAAAGTCAAAGAAAAAGAGTCAGACGTTCTAACAGACAGACAGGTGTTGCAGTTGTAAGTTTAGCTGGAGTTAGTGGTTTTGACTAGTAGCCTTAGTGTGTTTACATGCAGTAAGGTGACCGTTCTGACAAATTAACCTCCAAAGAAATGTCTTGCAGAGGGAGTCTCCAATCTCATGTTTGATAATGTTATCTCTCTTCCTGCTGAGCCTGAGAGAAGACAAGAAAACCTCCTGTACGTGGAGTGTTTGTGGGAACCGCGATGCCCTGCTCTCTTTCACATGCTCAGCATCATAAACAGCCGCTGCATTCTTGGCCGAGACTCGCGTTGAGTTTTTGTTTTCATTTTTATGTTGAACATTGTCACACTGCATGTAGAACTGTGAGCGGGGAGCAACAGATAAGAAGGTCTTTGATGTTAATTGCCACTCCAAAAGTAAAACTTAATCACAAAGTCTTCCGTCCTGTCATTATTGGCCTGATGTTTATACAAGAGCTGGACACAAATACAGTTTAGTCAGTTTAACATCATCTGACTGAGACTGTTTGAATGGCAAAAAAAAACCTTCCTATAAATGAATTTGATGCTTCTTATAAAAGTTTTTTTTTTTTGGAGAGAGAGGAAAAAATACTAATATTGGCCAAGGGCGTAGAATTTAATAGGGATTCTATGGACGTGTCCCTACCAAAATCCAGCGACTAAATTGTCCCTAGCAATCAGATACAAACAATAATTTATCAAATATTTATTACAATATATACTGATAAATTCAACATTCACTTCTATGGTATGAGATGACTGGATGATTTCAACTGATTTCCTATTGAACTGTCACCAACTGAACTGCAGCTCAAATTATTTCAAATATAGTGAATTAAGCTACAAACTTGATCATAATGCACAATGTCTCCATCTGACATGTATTTTCAGCTGCAGCTCATCATATTAATGGAGTGTTTCACTAGTTAGCAGTAAATCAGTTACCTCACCTGAATATGTTCCTAGATTTGTGTTGTTATCTTTGGAATGGAAATATGGATATTTTATTTGTCAAGATAAAACTTTTTTTCCTTTTATTTCAGTTAATGTCATAAAACTAGTGAGCTAAGCCAGTAGTTGTACTGACAGTGTCGTGTAAACATGGCTAAAGAGTGAAGACGTGAAAAGCGGAGGAACAGACAAATCGAATCAATTGAGTGAGTCATTTACGCTGGAACGGCTCCCATTGATTCAAAACCGATTAATCAGTTCAAGCGATTCATGAATCATTTGATTTAAATCGGGACTTCGGAGCGGGTTCGCGAATCATATCGCGAATTGAATGTTTCACGATCCGCGCTCCGAGCCCTGATCTGCAGTGAGGGTTCGCTAATCATTATTCAGACCGTTACTTCGGAGAGTGGGTCGCATATCATTTGATTTAGATTGGAACTTTGGAGCGGGCTCGCGAATCTTGTGATTCAGATCGGGGCTTCAGAACGGGCTCTCGAATTATTTGATCGGAACTTCGAATATCGCGAATCATTTGATTCAGATTGGAACTTCTGAGCTTGAATTTAATGGATGCGTCCGACAGCCTAAGCAGCTGACTTGCTGCCTCGCTGCCTTATCAGGCAATGACTTTGCAGGCAGCCTTTTTGCACGAAGGCACCTCATAAAACTGATTTTGGACAGGCTTCTGAGGCAGCGTAACGGTTTAATGATCTACAACAAAATAGAACGAGTTTTGATGATAACTAAACAAATATTTAATTACTATAATACTGATTTCTTACTAGAAATAACATTAAAAAGTGCAAAAAGTTAGTCAGAAACATACATTTAAACACAAACTGACCACCAAACACAACTTTCAGACACCATCTTTATTTTTTTTTAGCTCAATCGTCACGGAATGGAATGCACAGGATTGTGGGATATCAAAGGCAGCGAAGGATACATCTATGCTGCCTTCAAAATTAGATCAGAAGAACGTACCTCCGGAGACAGGAAGTGAAGCAGAATTTGTATTAGGACGTGCCTTGATGCCTTCCTGTCTTGGAATGCTGCCCCCGAAGGCAGCATTTTAGAGTTTTCGGAAGCAGCCAATGATTCACTTCGCGAAATGATTCAGGACTATGGAGTGCGAAATGATTCAGGACTATGGAGTGCGGAGTGCGAATCATTTGATTTAGATCGGAACTTCGGAGGTGGAGTGTGAATCAGAAATGTTTCTTGAAAAGCAAATTAGCATATTAGAATGCAGTGGCGAGCGGTGACTTTTTTAACCAGGTATGCTGAGTGATAAGACCCCCCAACCCCCCCACCCCCATCGGCTTTTAGGACACTCAAAAAGGGATCACAGATGACAAATAGCTACGAAACACCTTGGCAGGTGTCTATTTAAAAGTATGCACATTTCCTACCATATTTATAAATGAAATTCATCTCCAATCCTTCTTCTATCATTTCAAGTTTATCCATTATTCGAATGCAAGAAAAATATAGCTGGTTTTCCAAGTAAAAACCGCCAAATAACGTTACGTTATGATACATAACGCGTCGTTACGTTATGATACATAATCAGAGGGTGAGGAGATGGGGGGGATTCCCCCGCTCTATATGTCTCTCTGCATCAGCTAAATTATTTTTTTATTCCGAGTGAATAGGAGTTAAAACTCCCACCCGGGTGACACTACTCCAATAACAGACCATGCAAAATACCAAAAAAATATTTAAAATATTGCAAAGTAACGTTGCAACCTTGCAAACAATAATAAAACCAGAGAAGGACTTTAACTGTAAGCGACATGAGCATACGCAAAACAAAGGGAACAATATGATGTTTGTTATTATTAAAACTTTATATAGCCCATGTTTTTATTATTATTATTTTATTTTTTAACGATTAGGCAATAACGTTGACAATAACGTATATCTTCAACATACGTTGTCTTGTCTATGACCAAAAATGTAAGATATGTTTTCAGTGGACTTTTAACATTTGCTCTGCTTGAGAAAACAAAAATACACAGTTACAGTGTTTTTTTCTTTTGATTTAGTCGAGTTGGTTTTGCATCAAAAACAATGTGATTCTCGGCAATCGAGATCTGACAGCAACAGCACATTTTTCCGCTTGGGCGAGGGCTTTGCGGACAGCTTACCTCGCGCATTAAATCTGCCGCAGACCAGCAAATCACTGAGAATGCGCTATAACCCTGACGAGTCATAGCAACAGAGCGGAGGCGAGAAAGCTGCGGAGAATCCACTCGCCCAGAAGCAACCATAACTGATGTAGATTTACAGAAAATTACTGCCGTTTGGCAAATAAATCATTGTATGTGCTTATTCCTAACTCTTTAAGCTTTGTTACATTTCAAATGACAACTTATAATCATGTTTATATGAATTATCCCGTGAACTTATTCTCTCAAATGGCCTGGGTATGCGGAGCATTCGCAGCTTATATGGACGGAACGCCACTGTTAAAATGTTATTTTAAAGTATAATAATACTTCACAATATTTCAGTTTTTTTCTATGTTCAAATAAATGCAGCCTTGGTGAATCTCACCAAAAAAAGAAAATCCTACACTCAAAAATGAGTGTGGGCTTATTGAAGTTCATGGAAACAAAATGTGTTGTAAAATAATCAAATGTAAGGTCTGAGTACTATCACACGGCTGAACCGTGATAATGGAGAGAGTGTCCTTGTTTTATTTCCAGGCATTCAGGAGTATGTTGAGGCCGTGTCCTTCCATCACTTCATCAGACATCGCACACTGATCAGCCTGGAGGAAATCAACGCTCGTCTGGTCTTCATGAGAGAAAATAAGGTATGATAATGAATCCTAAAGTCAGCATTATGCATTCGTCTTAATATAAACACGGCCTCCTTGATGTTGTCTTGCCAAAACAGACAGGCTACGTTCCCGAGAGCACTTTCACCAGGTTTATCAGATTGCTGACAATCTTTTGCTGCTATTTTTAGAAAGCAGTGGTGGCTGCCTGCTTTGCACGTCTCTCTGTAATTTAGATATTTTTAGACGCATTGGACCGGTTTGATTGAAAATGTGTGGCCATTGATTTCTCAGTTTTCTAGGTGTTTTGTTTGTGAATAAACTCTTAAATACAGTGGGGTTGATGTATTTTTGTAGGCCAAAAACAAGTTTGCATTTTAGCACTTAGTTGCATCGTCCCAAATCAATGTTTTTTTTTTTTTTTTTTTTTTTAATGGGCTTTAGGTTGTCTGTGATCTATTTTGGTGTATTTATGGTCTATTTTCACACGTATTTCACATATATATTCAACGATATAAATTACATCAGTAATACCTCACTCGTGACTTTTAAACCTTTTACAAGTGTCTAAATGGCACTACAGAGGTTATTGGGGACGTTAAACATCATCACATCGAACAGGTGAACTCATCTACTCGTCGCCTCACTGTATTATAATCATGCTTTTGCAAACTATTCTAACTCAAACTTTCAGGGATATGGTTTTTATATATATATTGAAAGAGTTATTGACGCTTAATGGTGGTGATGTTGAAATCATGTGACAGTGGTTTAGCTTTTTACTTCTGCCAGTTGTATATATGCTTCATAATTCACAAAAGATGTGAACATTATTGTGATGAACAAAACACATGGAAGAATCATAAACTTTAGCTTGTCACAGAGCCTGTTTTCTGCAATAATCCAAAAGCCAATGGAAAAATCCTATTGGGTTTTTGAGGGAATCAGGGTAATGCTAATGGTGCTTTGAAGTCCTCCTGGGAAGTTTGCATTTACGAGTTGGAAAGTCGTAATTGACATCAAGTGCGTTATGATTTTTAAACTCTGCTTGTAAAAAATGATGAAGAAAGAATGAGCATCAGTGTGTTTTTGTTTTGTTTTTATTCAGTTAATGAAGGTGCTCCGATTGAATCATTATATATTCTATTGTAATTTTACTAGGGATGCACGATATTTATTGGACAGATAAATTATCGGGCGATATGGGTGAAAATTATGTCATTTTTTTTGCTCCGATAAATAAATGAAATCCGATAAAGTACTCTTGCTGGTAAATGAATCAGTCACTCTGCGATTCATCCGCTTTCCGAGTGAAAGTGCCTGCAGCTTTAAAACAGCATCGCGCTCATTACGTCATCACCCGTGAACATGTCTTTTTCTCGGTGGCAGCGGAGGACAGTACCATTGCTATTTGCAAAGCATGTTCAGCAAGAATTTCGAGAAGAGTAAAAAAGGCGTCAAGTTTTAACACAAGTCTTATATCTCACTTGAAAGGTCATCATTGCTGCGAAGCTCTACTAAAGGAATATGAATCAGCCGCGGCAGCAGCTACTAGTGCTAAGCCTAAGTCAAATAAATCCCAGTTCCCAGACCTTGCCTCACTTGCACGGAAATACCTGTCAGCCCCTTGCCCCAGCATAGACAGTGAACGTTTATTTCCTGCTGCTTCAAATGTTATGGATGAAAAAAAAAAAACTGAATTGGGTGTGAGAAGTCAGAGATGATTCTGTTTATCAAGATTCATCCACTAATGCCCTCACATAACAAATAGAAAAGACAAATAGACATTAAACAGAGACAAGTGAAAAGATATATACTTTAGAGGAGGGTAAGACATGTTGAATAGTGCAAATTGGAAATCATTTTAAGTTTATTATTATTTATTTTATGTTAAACTATATCATTTCAGAGAAATCTCTATGCCCTATGCACTTTTGAGGATGCACTTTTGTTTTCTGTGGGTGCAAAGTTTATGGAGAAAAAAAAAAAACTGAATTGGGTGTGAGAAGTCAGAGATGATTCTGTTTATCAAGATTCATCCACTAATGCCCTCACATAACAAATAGAAAAGACTTCTAAAAAAAGTGAAAAGATATATATACTTTGGAGGAGGGTAAGACATGTTGAGTAGTGCAAATTGGAAGTAATTTTAAGTTTATTATTATTTATTGTATGTTAAACTATATAATTTCAGAGAAATCTCTATGCCCTATGCACTTTTGAGGATGCACTTTTGTTTTTCTTTTTTTCGAGGTTGACAAATGTATTTAAAAAACATGACTTAAAGTCAATATACCTTCCTCATCCTCATGCACTAAAGGTTGAATAGATGCATTTCTTTGTTATGCATGAAATACTTGAATATAAATTTGTTTTTAAGAAGTTGCTAATTGCAGGTAAATCATAGTTCTGTCATAGTTCTGTTAAACTCTTTTCTGTTACTAAGTGTTGTGGTGTCTTACACAAAAAATAAACACATTTGAAGAGTCAGGACTGATGTTTGCTATTATAGTTAGGCCAGAGCTACAAAAATATCAGTTTAATCAGTGCTTCTTAGATTTTCTATTCTCCTGGGTGCACAAACTGTAGATTATATGAAAATTATAATATAAAAATACGAACTTATCGGTATCAGCCATGAGAAAGACTTAATTATCGGTTATCGGTTAACATTTTTCATATCGTGCATCCCTAAATTTGACAGTACTATTGTATTTTGTACATGTAACTTAGTTTTATTATAAAACTTAAAACTTACCATCAATACAGACACTGTATCCATTGCATCCAACATGTTTTCTTACTCAGGGTTTCTGCAGGTCTTGAAAAGTCTATTTTCACACCTTCAAAGGTCTTCAATTGGAGCAGAAAGTCTTAGGCCCAATCCCAATTCTACCCCTTAGCCCTTCCCCTTTCCCCTACCCCTCGTTTCATGCGTTCACGTGAAGGGGTAGGGGTGTCTCAGTTCATATTTATTGTCATGTTTCTCAATGAAATAATTGCTAAAAATTACTAATATTTGCTAACTAACGTCATATCATTACAGACTGCACGATAGTGCCACAACATATTTTCATGTCTGATCAGGGCGATAACCAACATAGACATTGAGGGGGGCTAGTTCCCCCAATAATTATAAATCACTAAACCCTTTTCTCAAATATTGCCAATTCGAGAGAGAGAGAGAGAGAGAGAGAGATGAAAGTTGTGTGTATGCGCGTCTGTGCGTTTCTTTTTTTAGAGTGAGTTTACTTAAAAAAAACAGCGATTTTATCCTCTTGTGGCATAGTAGTGGTGTCCCAATTCTTAGGGGAATATTTTCACCCCTAACCCATGGCACTCTGTTTCAAGGGACAAGGGGAAGGGGTATAAAATAGAATTGGGATTGGGCCTTAATTTCACAAAGTCATGGCATTAAATGTTGCATGCACTACAAAAAAAAGAACATTCCTCAGTATTTTTGTCTTATTTTTGTCAAATTGAACACATAAAGTCCTTTCTGAGAAATGGAAAAAAATTAAATGAGTTTATGCTTAAAACAAGAACAAATGTCTGTTAGTGGGGTATTATTAACTTGTTTTCCCTTCGAATTAAGTTTATATTTCTGAGGCTACTGGCAGATATTTGTTCATGTTTTAACCATAAACACACTCCATTTGGATCAGTTTCACATAATGTCATTTTCTTTTCAAGTAAATACATCTTGATTTAAAAATCTTTGGATATTTGCACTGGAAAACAAGACAAAAATACAAAGGAAGTGCACCACTTTTTTGCAGTTGTTTTAGCATGTTTTTTTCATGTAAAATGAATTAAAAAGTAATGGAGATCTGTTGAAAGTTGTATCTTCAAACTTTGAAGTAATAAAACATATTGTGTTCCATTCAATTTATTCCTTACTTGGTCTTAAAAAGGTCATAAAAGTCTTAAATTACCTTCATAAAACCTGCAGAAACCCTGTTATTGATGCCCTCAACTCGGAAACTCTGGGCTTAAAGAAAAATTTCCCACTCATAATTACAACTTTCTGTTCGTGTTGAACTCGTAAATGTATAATCGCTACAGCTCTCTATTGGTCATACTGAAGATTAGGGTCACTACTAGGGCTGCACGATTAATCGAATGCGATTGTTATGCATATTTTTTGTGATCATATTTGAAGCATATTTGGGGTTTCAGCGTGAGAGCACCCTCTAGCCTTCGGATAGAGATTTACTACTGATCACAGAACCTCGCTTCACTGAAAGATACACCAAATCGCGATTGCAATTTAATTTCAATTAATCGTGCCACCCTAGTCACTACCAGATTGATCAACCATTCATTTATTAGTTAGAATACTAATGATCTAGAAGCCATATTTCAATTCAGTTCAATTCAAGTTTATTTGTATAGCGCTTTTCACGATGCAAATCGTTGCAAAGCAGCTTTACAGAAAATTAAAGTTTCTACATTATATTTAGCAATAGCTTATCAGTGGTGATAACTACCTCAAGTTGATGTCCATATGGCAGAAATGCACGGTAAAAATCAAGCAGTTAGTTAATAGTTATAATTATTTGGTAGTTTTGTATGTTAAATATTTGGCATTTCATATTTGGCAGTATAAACTCATTGTTTGCTTGTCTCTTTTCTGAAGGGTGAAGGTGAGGTCGCATGGACAGGCCCGAGTGTATTGACCTTCCAGATTACGCCGATCGACTACCTGCTGGGTGTCGCGGACCTGACGGGCGAGCTGATGCGCATGTGCATAAGCAGTGTGGGCAACGGCGACATAGACACGCCCTTCCAGCTCAGCGGCTTCCTGCGGCAAATCCACGACGGCTTCTCCTACATCGGCAACACGGGACCATACGAGGTGTCTAAGAAACTGCACACTCTGCGGCAGAGCCTGGGGAAGGTGGAGGACGCGTGCTACACCCTGCGCGTGCGCGGATCCGAGATTCCCAAACACATGCTGGCCGACGTGTTCTCCAGCAGGGCGGCGACGCATGTGGACCCGGATGAGCCGATGGTGTGAGATACCGAGATGCGACGCGTGTCCTTTCCTGTGCATGTCGGACTTTGCAAACTGGGCATATTATTGTTAGAGTATTTTTAGTTTAAGGACTCTTTGTTTAAATGGTTGCATGTTGTAAACACGTCTAGTTCTTCAGTTTTGAGCTGTTGTATTTCATATAAATTGCAAAATGTTTAACTGATCTTGTTCCTTCTAATCTTCCGGAAAGTTATAAACATGTTTACCATTATTTTGAACTCAGAACTGTCAATAAAACTTGTTTTTGGTACAAACTTGGCCCCCGGCTACATCTCAACAGATCACATTAGGGTGACCATATTATAAGAGATTAGTTATTTATTTCTTAAATACCCCAATTGTTTTATCCATCTGCACTCAGTTTTATGTATTAATTGATTTTTAATTAAGATTCTCCCAATATGGGGACAGGAGACTTGTCAGTCAATAAATGGGAAAACAAAGTAACTGGCGTTACTTTTTTTAAAAAGTAACTCAGATATTTTCTTGTGAATTAAAAAAGTAATGCGTTACTTTACTAGTTACTTGAAAAAAGTAATCTGATTACGTAACTCGCATTACTTGTAATGAGTTACCCCCAACACTGTTCATTTTCAACACAATATTTTAGCTTAATAATTTCAAACCTAACCAACTTCTGTTTTGTGAAATGTTTTGTTTTGTTTTGATTGTGCATCTTAATAAATGACACTTGTTTTGGTATTTAGTCATGACTTTTTCAGACATTTTAAGATAAATGTCATAAGTGTCCAAATGCGAAGTCCGTCCAGTAGATGAGGTTGATGGGAGTTTTGCTCTGGTGTGCATCAGAGGAGTCAAATTCCAGCAGACGTCACAGAAACTCCTTCACAACACGCCACATAACGGGACAAAGTGCGGCTGTGATCCGGCTCTCGTCTGCTTTCTGACAACCCTGTGCTGTGGCTTCATTTTTCCAGAGGATAACGGAAATAAAACAAAGAACTTAGAAATATTTTCTCTGAATTAAACAGAGGAGCACAAACGCACGCGAGCATTCTTCGGGCTTCCCTCTCACAGGAAACTCGCCCTTTACGTCGCAGAGTTGGATTTTTTTGTGCATCTGTTTTATTCAAACGTCGATTAGGATTACATATCCGACAACCCAGCTATCTGCGGAGTGTTAAGTGTAAAGTGTAAACAAAATTAATATTTGTGAAGGAAAGTGAACGGCGTTCGGTGCACCGGAGAATGACACGCGCTGAGTTTGGCGTTTAACTGACCCCAACTAACTATATTTTTAGTGGATTTACCGGTTTCAAACAGTCATGATGTTCGCAGGAATGATCAGGGTGGAAAACAACTCAAAAACACACAAAACTGACACCGACTCCACGTGTCACCGGTGTGCTGTGAGGACAGGTAAGAAAATAGTAATACCATGGCATTCCCTGATGTACCTCATCACTGCTTGGCACTTGGTTAGACTAATGATATCTTTTTAGTGCTGCCATAAATTAAAACACTAGCAATGAATTATCAAGATACCACGGTATTACTGTGTTTTATTGGACATGATACGTTGGAAGTCCTGTTTATTGACCATGGTATTCTTTAAAGTTGTTTAGCTTGTGAATACCATGGTATTCCTTGATGTGGGTTGGCATTGCATGCAATTAGATTGGTATACCGTGAAAATGACTTTTCGAAGTTTATTGGAATAACTTTTTCAAGAAAATACTATTTCAGTCTTTCTACCTCAAAATAATTGCAATTATGTGTGAAATTTATTAGCAATTTCTGAGTGAAAATGGCTTGAAACCTTTTTTTAGTATAGGCCTATATGCTAAAAAGTAATCTAATTTCATGTTTGTACCCTAATAAATTGAGACACTAACAAAAAAGTAGGCCTGTTAAAGGTACCATGATGTTACTGTTATATTGGACATGATATGATGTAAGTACTATGTTTATGGACAGTTGTACCATGGTATTCTTTACAATGAGGTAAAAAATGATATAAATATTGTTCGATTTCTGGCACAAACCGATCGTTTGGTGTCTTAGGACATCAATGTGTCGTCATGAGCCGCAGGGTTTAATTTGGATTTGTCTGTTTTTTTTACACTCATAGATTTTGTTACCATTGCCACGCATTATACGACTGATAGACTCCAACGGTTGGACTTAAAAATCATCAAATGTGTTCTACTGAAGAAACAAAGTCACCTACATCTTGGATGCCCTGGGGGTAAGCAGATAAACATCAAATTTTCATTTTTGGGTGAACTATCCCTTTAAGTAGCATGTGAATACCATGGTAAATATGTATGTAAATATGTGTATATCAATGTGCTGTGATAATGTTACCTTGTTTTTGTCCATATTATTTCTGTTTGATTAAGTACCATGTTATCAAAATACCATGCTGTTACCATCTGATTTCATCTCTCTGCCACCACAGTATTTTTACTGTGACTAATGGGATGTTTAAGCCTCATGTTTTGATTTCTAATGTGCAATATGATCTTTGGGAACGCAGTACTTTCCTTTATTCCTTTCACTGCAATCTCTTCCCACATCAAAGCTCAGCAAACAGTGTCAGAATACATGAGGACGGAGCATCTGGGGGTGGTTTAGCGGTTGAATTATTTTTAGACATCCATCAGAAGGTTAGGTAAGTTTTCACTGAGTTTAACGAACCTTTCTAGTCATAACAGCCCTTTGCAATTCAGATCTGGCTTTCAGACATAATATTGTTGGTGCCCACAGGCAGACGGCTCATGGAGAAACGTGAAACTCGTGTAAACACACTCGATGTGGAGAGTAACTTGAGCAAACATTGAGATTTAGTCCAAAAATTCTACCTTGTCACAATCTATACTGTATGTAGTAAAATACTTACAGGACAGCGTTTATTAGCAGTTGGCATGCAGCTAATTGGCATGACTTGTGATTAGAGTCAGTAGAAGCTGCATAGATGGATGCATCTGTGTCGTCAGTCTGTTAAAGCCACTATTCTGTTTTTACATCCATGATTCAGCTATTAAGGCCAGTTTGAGCATCTTTATCTGTTTTTCAATGTGGAACGGCATGTAGTGCATGAAAGAGTTTTAAAGAAAAGTTAATCCAGAAATGAAAATACTGTCATTATTTATTTACTCACCCACCCTCACCTTGTTCCAAACTTGTGTGTCTTTCTTGTGAAACACAAAATGATAATTTATCAGAAGTGCACGCTGTTCTTTTCCATATTTTGAAAGCAAAGAAGGTCTAATTCTTGCTGAAAATGTTGTTTGACGTCATTTATGTCAAACATACGGGTTTGGAACAACATGAGGGTGAGTGATGACAGAATTGTCCTTTTTGGGAGAACTATTTCTGTAACAATTATTATTGTTATTTTTATTCATTTTTCTGTTACAGTTTCATGGTTCTTGTTCTCTTTTATCGTCAGATTTGTTGATGTTCAAAGCTGTTTATGTTCAAACAGTTTCCTCAGTTCACATGGTTTAGAGTGTGTGTGTGTGTGTGAAGTGATTTTCAGCTGTTTGTGTGTCTGTGAGTGAACAGGAAGTGCGTCGAGACTTTTGCCAGAACTTCAGCAGAAGTGCAGCTGCTAAATTTAAATGCAGTACTGAGGGTTTCTTTTGTCAAATTCCGCTGTGCACGAATCCTTAACAAATTAGACCAGAAAATGATCCTGTTTTTTGAGAAGTTGATGATTCATTAGTAGAGCTGTCACTTTAAGTTTTTAATTTGGTATTATCTATCTATCTATCTATCTATCGTTCTATCGTTTTATCTATCGTT